GTTGAGTGAGGCCCTAATGATAATCTACCACGGGTAAACCCCCCTGCCCTTTCTAGCAGCTGCTAAGGTTATATCCCATTAGATAGTTGTTACAAACTGTATTAAATTTATCAAATGTAACGTGTCATTAAATGTTAAGTATACTATTAAAGTATCTATTTAAAGCTGCTTTGCTTTGTTTGTCAGATCTTATCAGGACTATTCCATTTTAAAGTCTGAGGTAACAAGTACAAGGATTAGTGTGCACTCAACCGTTTAAAGTGTTGTTATAAGCTGTCTAACGATTGGGACGTCTAACTAATGGGAGGACACCGCTGCTAATATATTTCCGTTTTACAAACACGCTTCTGAGTGACACAACGTATCATATTCAGGGTGGGGTTGTTTCTAAATATTCAGAAAATACTTGTAACATCCATAAATTATCAGGAAACCAATTTGCCTCAGGTTTTACCCAGGTTTTAATCGTTCACTGCATTTCCTGAAAACTTGTTTTCATCCATGATTGTCAGCAGCTACAAACAGCCGCACGCAGAGTATCGATCTTGTGACACATGTGTCTGCAATAGTAGACAACTATCAAGGGTTGCGCACGGCATAAACACGAAATCTAACCTTGATACAATTTCATCACCTCTGTCAGCCGTAATACAACACCATCACAGTGATGTATACGTAAATGAATACCTTGCAAGTGTTTCCGTGGCATTTGATTGGCTAACAAGGCATGGAAAGAGGGTACGCCCACTGACGGACTACTGTTTCCTGATTGGCTAATAACAGAATAGGCGGGGCCTGTGTCGCATTAAGGCAATGTCAATGAGTTCGTGCGTGAATGAGCGAGTGTGAAGTCACATCGGCAGTATTTCAGCCACAGTGACTATCAAAGTTTAAACATAATAAATACTTTTAGACTGTAAACAAACTGTCAAAAGTGGCAGTGAAATAACCAGACTGTAACAAATTTATGTTTATAACTAGCGTATAACCATAAAATATATCACAATACATAGCAACAGATTATACAAACCGGTAGATCTACTTCAACCATAGTAAGGCCACACACCAGGGACCATCACCTTGTGCACTCATTCCGTACTGTTGTCTGCACTGTTTTCGGGAACAGATTATTTTTTTCAAAAACATCTATGGGTTGGCGTTTTTTCGCTCTTTGTACATTCAGTAGTATATTTCTCAAGGTAGAAAAAGTCCCACCCTACCCAAGCCCACCCCCTCCCAACCCACCCCACCCACCTCTACCCACCCAACCCCACCCTATCCAACCCCACCCCACCCCCCAAAAACCACCCTATCCCACCCCACCCCATCCCATCCCACCCCACCCTGTCCCAACCCATCCTATCCCAACCCACCCCATCCTATCCCAACCCACCCCACCCTATCCCATCCTATCCCACCCCACCCCATCCTATCCCAACCCACCCCATCCTATCTCACCCCACCCCACCCCACCCTTTCTATCCCACCCCATCCTATCCCAACCCACCCCATCCTATCCCACCCCAACACATCCCACCCCATCCCCCGAGATGACGCGAATGAACGTTTCAAAACTTCAAATATTAGCATAGTACAAAGGGAGATTTGTGTTTTCCAACTAGTCAATAACTACATGCGTGCATGCACTGAACTGTCATGCTAAGCATTGTTTTAGCCAAACATAACCAACCACAAAGCAGCCATGGGCCCGTAACTCATTATGTAGGATAAAGGTAATATCGACCTTGGCATTGCCTCCCAAAAGTCAGTTCAGCGGGACCCAAAGCACAAGCCTATGCTTGGTCGTTAGTTATCAATAAGTTGGACTAGTAAGTTGAACGGTTATAGGTGAAGGACAGACATATAGAGGAAATTATACTAAACGCCAAACTCGGAAACTTGTTAAAAGATCATTCATCACTACACACTAAGCCATCTTATGCGTGAGTAAAGAGGCAGTAAAATCCCTCCCTTCCCATGCATGCATACACCCAATATTGTGATCAATGTCAGCAGCCAGTACACTACAGTACACCACTTGAAATGTCAATGGAAATTTCATCAAAAGTATTTGTGCCATTATTACTTGAAAGAACTAAAGAATGTTTTCAGCAAATATGTATAGAAAAACACACGCACTCACGCAAATACACGCACGCACGCACGCACGCACGCACGCACGGACGCACGTACACCATGCAAACATTCGCTGTGTAATTAGTGTACCGCTAGAGTTATATACATGTGTATATATTAGCGGAAAAAAGTAACTGTGCTTCACATAAAGTGCTGTAAATTTTATGTTGTTTAAATTAACAAAACTATATTGGGTCATTCATCTGATCCATGTTTAATCATAACAAATCTATTGACAAAACCCGGGCCTGGTAATGGGAGACCGAGCGACACGCCCCAGATCACTCTGTTTCGATGAACTTTGTGTTTGTCGAGCAACTTCGTTTGGTGCTATTCCTGTTTGTAGCATATGCCCAGCGTGTAGACGATGATTTTGAACATGTCGTGGCATCGCGTAAGCGTCATTTACGGTAAAACAAAAGTATTTTTATGAGCACTTGATAACTTAACAATCACTATGTGCCGTTCACATTAAAAAATCACGTGTGTGAGTCTCATGCTCCCAACAAACATGCAAATTATGCATGAACATACATATGCAAGTTTGTGACTCACGACCTTAAAGTCGAGGAGAGTTCATGAAAATGTTTTGAAAGATGCATTATTGAATTTCAGAATAAATATACTCCTGAAAAAAAGAAACGCAAAGCCAGATATGCGTGAGGTAGGAAAATACATTAATACGAGGATCCGTACAAGGCATTGAGCCAAAATGTTGTGGAGAGAACACTTGGTGATTGTAGTCACCTCCGTTATCGGTACATAGGAAAAGTCCAAGGTGAAGGTCAGCTACCATCAATAATGCGTATGTCCTCCGTTGGAATCGATAGCGACCTGACAACTCCTGCCCATGGAAGAGACGAGTATGCGAATCACATCCTGGGCAATGGTAGCCCACTCGGCCTGCAACGCAAAGACCAAATGCAACGTCTGCAACGTCTGCAACGTCTGGGGTTGTGGTTGACGTCGGCGTAGCCGTCTATCAATTTCATCCGACAGGTGCTCTATCGGGTTCAAAGCAAGGGATCTGGAGGGTGAGGGGAGAACATCAACGTTGTTGTTGTGTAGACAGGCTCTTGTGATCCGTACTGTATGCGGTCGAGCGTTGTCCTGCTGGAATACACCGTTGCCGTTGGACGTGTGGTAGGAGAATTTCATTGATGCATCGTTGAGCCGTAAGATTGCCATGGAAATGGACCAAACCTGTCCTGCCATGATGAGAGATAGCCGCCCATATTATAACCCTACCCCCATCAAACCTGTCCACTTCCTGTACGCAGTTTCCGGCGTAACGTTCTCCCCGACATCTGTAGACCCGTGTTCTAATATCACCTAGAGGGAGGAGAAATTTTTATTCGTCGCTGAAACAGACATCTCTCCATCACAGTTGAAGCCCTACCCTGTGTTGACGACACCAATGCAGTCGTTGTTGACGATGTTGTCGACTCAATATGACGCGTCGATCAGGACGTCTTGCTCGTAGACCTGCTGTTCTTAAACAGTTTCGTGCAGTCTGATGGAGATTCTGCGCAGTCCGGGTATTTGAGATGCGGTTGAGGTGGCTGTGGTCGTCCTTTCACGTTGGCGGTGCAGTCGGATGTAACGATTTTGGGCGTGGGTGGTTACTCTTGGTTGCCCCGACCCTGGCCGATCACGTGTTGACCCATGCTGTTGAAACCGATCCCATAGCCTTGTGATGGTGCTGGGCGCGACATTGAAAACCCTGCCTGCAAGTGGCCTATGACGTTGTTTCTGTGCACTTCTGTTAATCTTTGCATGTTGTTGAGCTGTCACTGTTCGATTGACGCAGATGCCAGACAATAAATCACCCTGCACTTTAATACCGTTCATAGTGCTGCTGCACATGCAGTACGTGCAGCTCCATGGCCTTTTTGTCAATGCCCTGGGTGCGTTTTTCCGAATCGTACGCGTTTCCCGACCAATGACATTTGCCACTGACTATAACACTTAAAGCCTCTTCATTCTGCATCTCGTTAGCTAATTTTGCTTTTATGGCCAAACATATCCGTTTTGTGTTTCTTTTTTTGAAGAGTATATATTTTTATTGAACTCTATATCAAGCAAATGTTACTTTTACTGTTTTCCGTTAGTATATATCATCACAGTGAGTCAACTAAAGCTGGTTAAGAACAGGGCCCGCTAGGATGCGCTAAGATGCTTAAACATAGGCTTACAATAGTCGAAGCGCTAAGGTAGCTTTGTGCAAGTGGGTCCAGGAGCTGACAATCTCTGTGGCTTTCCTTTAATGAGGTGTCGAGATATGGCCAACTGATATGGTAATATGATTGAGAACGACTCCGCACTCCACAATATCCCAGTTATATGGATGATTTGTTATAATTCTTTTACGACTGCAGATTGAAATATGTCGGCAAGATAAATTTGTTGTAGTAGTACCACTCGGGGTTTATGTGGTCCCTTGTTGCTCCAGCTCGCGGTATAAAACCTACAATACACATACGCAGAGTGTTTTTGTTTGTTTGTTGTTTAACGCCGCACTCAGCAATATTTCAGCTATATGACGGCGGTTTGCAAATAATCGAGTCTGGATCAGACAATCCAGTTATTGACATCCTGAGCATTAATCCACGCAATACGGATACGATGACAGGCATGAACCAAGTCAGTGAGCCTGACCACCCGATCCCTTTAGTCGCCTCTTACGACAAGCATAGTCGCCTTTCACAGCAAGCATGGGTTACTGAACACCTATTCTAACCCGGATCTTCACGTGTTAATACGCCGAGCGATGATGCTACAAGTAATAATGACCTGCGTCACTTCCGGTCACATGACTGAAATATTGTTCATTCACTCACTTACACATTCAGAAAAGTAAAAGATGAAAGCAAATACATGTTAATTTATTTATCTTATGGAACCATAAATCATTGATATTGACTACATTTATGTGGTATTATTTCTGCGTTAAAACACTTCAGATGCAATCATGATGAACATGTGTCATTTATCAGTGTCTAACATTCGCCATTATTGTGGGTGCAGACCTTCAAGCTGACATCGTACCGAGTGGTGGCCGGACAGACCATGGGATACTTGATGCCGTTAGAGCACATGTAGAACTTGGTACAGTCACTCTCGTGGGCGATCATGACGACACCAGTGCTGGGACAGGACTCCGCCGTCGTGGTTGCTGCAGTGGTGGCAGCATGTTTGCAGGCGGAGATGGCGGAGTCATACACGGTACCTTCTGCACACTGATGGCGATGGGCCACGCCGTTGCTGCACTGGAAGAAGCGCCTCTCATTGGTGGCGTGGGCGTGGTAGGTGGTCTCATTTTCTGGACAACGTTCTGCAAGAAAACAAGTCATCCCGGTACCAGAGAAACAAGACATGGTGTAGATATTTATTCCAACACGTTTATGAAACTATTTACTCGACCAATAGCATTCGTGGGCCTGGGAGTTTTGTGTTGAAACAGTATATACTGAGAAGCAAAAGAAATTAGACCTCTCAGTTGATTTTATCACGTTTGATTTCAATTGAAAATATCCTGAGTTAATGATATTATATCAAATAAATGAACTGTACTGGCGCTTAGTTAGCTCTCAAAGAATACTTCAACATCATTATATTTTGAAAGGTATAATTTGATTTAAAACATTTAAAAATTAAAGAACAAAATACGCATTATACACAACTGCAATAAAAATCAATTCTACAATTCTATTTGCTTCTTTCGGCACAAATTTACATTTCAAAAATGGTAGGCGTCATATGGTTGCAAATTCATTTCTTACCCCAGTCTTGATTGAACCAAGTTATTTTTACACCATATTACCAAGCCACTTGTTAGCGTTTACAAATGAGTGATGGTTGAATAGATATAATCACGTTTAACAACATGATTTCTTTCAATTTTCAATTACATTAATAACAAACTAGGTATACTTTCTTTTGCTCCTCAGTATATGTATTCAGTCCTCACTCACATTTATATAACATACGTTCCCGTGATTTTATAGGTGAACAATTGACTTGGTTTTGCAAGTGTTTGTGACGGTTGGCATCGGTGGCATCAGGATACGGTCACCTTTTCACTAACAACTGCTGTCATCACTATTTGACGGTGATTCATAAACACATGCTCATGATATAGTCAGAACCCTCGACACTGCATTTGGCACAGATTTCTTATGAACATGGAAAAGGCTTTGCCGCTTGTAATTAAACCCACAAGCAATTACCTTCAGAACATCAAGCATGTCCAGTGAACGATTTGTTCCATTTTGTAGAAACCCGAGGACACATTTTTTTTTCAAGCATATTTGAGTACACATCATTGTCTCCACGATTTCCACAGACCTCCAGAATATTACATGGTGTGCCCCTGTGAAATTCCCTGCTTTGTGAAATTACCTCCACACTCCTCGGTGCTGCAGATGATGGTCCTGTTCTGGTAGCTGTCTCCGTCACAGTCGGCTCCCCCGAAGGCCGGGGTGGGGTTGGTACAGTTCCTGGAGCGGTCCTGGTCCTTGTTGCCTCCTCCACACAGGACACTGCACTCATCCAGGTCCTGCCACTCTTCCCAGTCCGTCCAGCCACCGTCAACTGGGGAAAGAGATTTTTTACTCTTATTTGCTCTTTCAGTTTAAGGGCAACCGGAAAACAGAAGATGCCAACCACTCCTCTCCTTTATCCCGAATACCATCAGCTTTGTCACTCGTCTCATTGCTCACCTCTGTATCCCAAATACTACTCAACACAAACGAAAACGCATTGAGAAAAGGTTACGATTTTCAGTTCAATTACTGAAAATTTATTTTAAAATATCAAATTTAAAGAAAACTTTTACGTACACCATGTTTTTTACATGTTGAATCTGCGTTCCAAAATTCGATAGTAATTGCGTCCCGCGTGGGACACTGATAGGTTAGACTCATAATTCGATCCGGATCCTGCGTACCTAAAAGGGGTTGACAGTCTCAGTACTGAAACTTTGTATTCGGGGTTTTGGCAAGAATGAAGCAAGGAGCCTTAGCAGTACATAATGTGACTGACTTGGACAGGGATGAGTGTTACAGTCCCTCTCAGATCTGTCCCTGACATCTCCGACACACTCCTGGCCTCCGTAGGCTGGGGCGGGGTTGGTGCACGTCCTGTCTCTGGTCTTGAACTGGGATCCTCCTCCACATGTAGTAGTGCACGTGCTGTAGTCTGTCCACGCGCTGTAGTCACTCCATCCACCATCAACTGATGAGATTAATTAACGACAATTGATGACAACTGAATAAGGTATTTTGTTAATTCTAAACTGACCTTAAAACCGATTAATCATCTAAGTTATTCCATCATTAAGCGATATCACCTAGGAGTGCTTTACAGACGATTGTGACGTCATCGTTACCATTGCGACCCCAGTCAAATGACATCACTAATATCTCTGCCATTGAAGCTGGTTAGCTGTGCATTTTACAATTTAGTCACAGGTCATTACTTTTTCCAAATTAAATAGTTTTAAAAAGGATTTTTTTCTTGTTTTTTTTCTGACACGTCCCACCTTGTGTCATCGATATTTGATATTGATTCATAAACACATGCTCGTTTTATAGTCGGAATCGTCCAATCGATTCTGCTTTGAGCAGAGATTTCTTATAAATATGAAAATGGTTTTGTTACTTTTATTTGGAGGGGCAATAGATATTTTACAACTAGTTTCGCAAACCTGTATGATAACTGAATAAGAAAAACATGTCTCTTGACATCAAATATATCACTCAAATCACTCGTCGATAAACGTTTAAAGCTTTATCGACTCATGTTGATATATTTTATATCAAAAGACACGAGGGTGAGTTTTTCAGTTTTCTTCAGATATAGGGTTCGCGAAGCCACTGGTAACATATCTCCAACGCATCTCACCTGGACACATCTGTTCGTTACATCGGATTGTCTGGGTATCTATGGTAGGGCCAGAGCACTGCGCACCGTTGTGCGCAGGTGTCGGCTTGGTGCACGAGCGTGTACGAGATCTCACCATGGATCCTCCACTACACGTTTGTGTGCAGACAGTGTCATTCGTCCATTGTCCGTAGTCTGTCCAGCCACCATTCACTGTGTTGAAGAACGGTTTAGGAGAGAAAGTCAGTAGAATGGCCCAGGTACAGTTTCACCATGCTCTACTTTCTGGTAGAGGAGACAACACGAAATTCGACCAAATCAAAGCTATGCCCGGATGGCGGGCCAACAATTTCGGCCAGATAACAAGTGTTAACCCTTGGCCGATCAAAGCAAAAATAATTGCGTTGATCAATGCTAATGATGTCAATTATTGTCTAGTCTAGATTCGATTATTTACAGACCGCCGTCATATAGCTGCAATATTGCTGAGTACGGCGTAAAACAACAACCCACAAGAAGAAACATGGTAACACGACCTAATGTCAAGCTCTGGATTGTCTGGTCCAGATTCGATTATTTATAGACCGCCTTTTAAAAGGTCCTTACGATGACATGCATCAGCTAACTCAGCGAGCCTGACCACCCGATCCCGTTTGTCGTCTCTTACGACAAGCATGGGTTGCTGAAGACCGATTCTAACCTGGAAGTTCACGGGTACATTTAATGTATAACCTGCATTAATAACGTACGTCAGTGGTTATAACTACACAGTCCATACATACCTGGTCTCTGTCTGTAGCAGGTCGACGCTACGCTCCTGAGAAAGGACATCATAAAGAACAATATAGATATTGCTTTGTCGTCAATGTTTTCATAGATAAAGCACAGGGGAGCCGACATTCACTGTTACAGTTATGGCAGCACTAAAACTACAAACACCACCTGTGGAGTCAGTAAATAGTTCGTTCATGTTTCTAAAAACTAAAAATGGTGTGAAAGAGTAAGCATATTTTCAGCCCTATCGACCTGTTAAGAACATCTTGCTTATTACGGTAATAATACCTCACAGCCATGTTGGAAGTTGCCCTGTTAGTTAGAAAACAACAAAGGGAGTATCTGTTGTTGACTTCTCTATGTGATATTATTGATAAGTGAGCTTTTGTCATATAAATCTTCAATCAATAGCATCTGATTGTTCGATTCAAGCATTTAATACTCAGTTTTCTATATCTTAAGAAAGTATGGAAATCTTGTGGTATATGGCTTAAGTTAATCGTGCCAAGACTGCACAAATACTTTGGGAATTACAACTACTGCAATTTTTTTTGTATCTTACATGGTACAGAACGTGCCGTTTTATCAGCGGGTATGGAGATTTGTAATAAGTAATTGTTTTCTGTTATTGAAAGCAACACGACATATACAAAGACCTAATATAAATGTGAACGAAGGAACGTTTTCAACTATGTATTTGCAAAAAATGGCCTCTAGCAGATAATAGACTAAATATTCTCCGTTGATGTTTTGAACTTATACAGTACCTGACTTCATCTGCTCAACGGCGCTAGTAATAGTATTAACCCGTTCAATGGATCACAATGCACGCGAATTCCATTCTCAGCTCCCTGGGAGGTATACAACCTAATCTGCCTGTGAGGCACTAGAATGCCATTTTACCATCTCATCTACTAGGTATTAATTCAAAGCTGAGTGAACAGAGACACACTTCGCTGCCACATGAAGCGCGTGCCTCTGAGTGGGGCCGGACCGAAGTCCTAGAAACTCCCACGGTCACCCATCCAACTACTCTACGCACCAAACGTTGCTTAACTGCGTCTTGTGTGTGACCGGTTCGGCGTACACGCGACTACGTACCATCACTATTTCTTTTGAAATTAACATATCTGTGGAACGGAAAGTAAACCTGTTATTGAATATCCCATCTAACATTTTTTTATTACGTTACCTATATGAAGTGCAGCGAGAAAGTCCCCAAAATCCACACGAACGAGTGTATCGCTGGGACCGGGTGCAGGAATACGCAACCCTGCGAAGGTAAACATACTTGTAGTACAATAAAGCGTCACCCTGTAAAGGAAAGCATACATGTAGTACAATAAAGCGTCACCCTGTAAAGGAAAGCATACATGTAGTACAATAAAGCGTCACCCTGTAAAGGAAAGCATACATGTAGAACAGTAGCGTCACCCTGTAAAGGAAAGCGTATATGTAGTACAATAAAGCGTCACCCTGTAAAGGAAAGCATACTTGTAGTACAATAAAGCGTCACCCTGTAAAGGAAAGCGTACATGTAGTACAATAAAGCGTCACCCTGTAAAGGAAAGCATACATGTAGTACAATAAAGCGTCACCATGTAAAGGAAAGCATACATGTAGTACAATAAAGCGTCACCCTGTAAAGGAAAGCATACATGTAGTACAATAAAGCGTCACCATGTAAAGGAAAGCATACATGTAGTACAATAAAGCGTCACCCTGTAAAGGAAAGCATACATGTAGTACAATAAAGCGTCACCATGTAAAGGAAAGCATACATGTAGTACAATAAAGCGTCACCCTGTAAAGGAAAGCATACTAGTAGTACAATAAAGCGTCACCCTGTAAAGGAAAGCGTACATGTAGTACAATAAAGCGTCACCCTGTAAAGGAAAGCATACATGTAGTACAATAAAGCGTCACCCTGTAAAGGAAAGCATACATGTAGTACAATAAAGCGTCACCATGTAAAGGAAAGCATACATGTAGTACAATAAAGCGTCACCCTGTAAAGGAAAGCATACATGTAGTACAATAAAGCGTCACCCTGTAAAGGAAAGCGTACATGTAGTACAATAAAGCGTCACCCTGTAAAGGAAAGCATACTTGTAGTACAATAAAGCGTCACCATGTAAAGGTAAGCATACATGTAGTACAATAAAGCGTCACCATGTAAAGGAAAGCATACATGTAGTACAATAAAGCGTCACCCTGTAAAGGAAAGCATACATGTAGTACAATAAAGCGTCACCCTGTAAAGGAAAGCATACATGTAGTACAGTAGCGTCACCCTGTAAAGGAAAGCATACATGTAGTACAATAAAGCGTCACCCTGTAAAGGAAAGCATACATGTAGTACAGTAGCGTCACCCTGTAAAGGAAAGCATACATGTAGTACAATAAAGCGTCACCATGTAAAGGAAAGCATACTTGTAGTACAATAAAGCGTCACCCTGTAAAGGAAAGCATACTTGTAGTACAATAAAGCGTCACCCTGTAAAGGAAAGCATACATGTAGTACAATAAAGCGTCACCCTGTAAAGGAAAGCATACATGTAGTACAGTAGCGTCACCCTGTAAAGGAAAGCATACATGTAGTACAATAAAGCGTCACCATGTAAAGGAAAGCATACTTGTAGTACAATAAAGCGTCACCCTGTAAAGGAAAGCATACTTGTAGTACAATAAAGCGTCACCCTGTAAAGGAAAGCATACATGTAGTACAATAAAGCGTCACCCTGTAAAGGAAAGCGTACATGTAGTACAATAAAGCATCACCCTGTAAAGGAAAGCATACTTGTAGTACAATAAAGCGTCACCCTGTAAAGGAAAGCATACATGTAGTACAATAAAGCATCACCCTGTAAAGGAAAGCATACATGTAGTACAATAAAGCGTCACCCATAAGCTTGCATTACCTTTGTTAAGTTGACCTGAAACGTTTTAGTTAAAAGGATCCTTCGGTCATCTGCAGTAGGAAGAATTGCCAAACCATACCAATAAAAACAATGTTGATTATATACTGTCACAACTCACGCTTCGGATGACACCTGGGGCAGCAAAGCGGCTACAACAACCACAGCGAATGCAGAGACACGGAGTCCTTGCATCTTGAACGTCTCGGGGCAAACTAAATACGTAGGTGTGTTGCACTAAGTTAATATATCACGAGCACCTGCTTGCTTGAGTATATGTTCAAATATTTTAATCTGTTTGTTTAGTTTACATTACAGTATGTTACAAACATGTCAACACACCCCACCTGTTCAAAACATGATATCCTCATGGGTTATGGATGTAGTCAGTGTCACTGTCTCGAAGACGGTACCCGTGAAGCTCCGAGTTAGAACTGGTCCGCAGCAACCCATTCTTATCGTAAGAGGCCACCAACGGAATCGGTGGTCGCTCAACGTATCCCAATTGCGTGGGTCGATTCTCATGATGTCAATCACTGGATTGTCTGTTCCAGACTCGATTATTTACAGACCGACATCATATATCTGGAATATTGCAGGGTGTGACTAATAAACCAAAAAAAATGGATTATTTAATTGTCTAAGGCGACGTAGGTCGCTAAGCAGGAGATCCTCTGGTCATGTGTTCGAAATCCCAAATTCTTCTCGAGTATGATTCATGGTTTCTGAGCAACATATACCCGTGGTCGTGGGTTTTACTAACATGGTACACACCAACCATTGGGCGTCATATTGAACATGACGTCATATTAGGTGAAGTGGAATGGGTTCAACGTCGCGTCTAAGATTATTGCTTTTTTGTAGCGACGTGGTGTGTGTGTATGCGTGTGTGTAGTGTGTGTTTGGCTGCTTGTACTAGTCCTGACTGGTTTCCTGCCGATTTTTTAGTGCTTGCCCACTGAGATACCATGCCGTGGTTTAATATGAATACCCTACTCAGTCACAGAACCGAGTTTTAGTCCCTTTATGCCGAGCATCAGGCAGGGTAACAACAAGTACCACCTCTTTACGTCTGGCGTATGGTATGACGCGGTGGGGGATCGAACACCGGACCTTCCGGTCTAGGGGCAGACGTTCTACCACTAGGCCACGGAGGCGGTCTGCTGTTATATTAATCTAGCACGCCATGTCATGAAAGCAACATTAAGCCCAACTCACTCACACACTCTTTGTAGTATGTTGGACAATTGGACAGAAAAATGTATCTCTGCAGTAGGTACAGTGGTGTTATTATAAAGTGATGTGAAATGTACACTGACACACAGACCAGACACACACACAATATTGACTTTGGAAGTCCCCATGTTAGGTCAAACGAAACGTAATATTGTTTGTCTGTGGCGATGAATTATGTATTTAATAATCCATTTATCTATGTACCCATACTTACAGGTACTCATTCTCAGACAGACTTGCGCTAACCTATACTAACATGTACCAGTAATCACACTGACTTGCGCTAACCAATACTAACAGGAACTATCCCATAATAACAGACACTTACCTATACTAATAGGAACTATCCCATACTAACAGGCGCTAACCTATACTAACAGACACTAACCCATACTAACAGACACTAACCCATACTAACAGACACTCACCCTTTCTAACAGACACTAACCCACACTAACAGGAACTAAAACATATAAACAGGCACTAAACTATACTAATGGGCACTAACCCATACTTACAGGCGATAACCTATACTAACAGACACTAACCCTTTCTAACAGACACTAACCCACACTAACAGGAACTAAAACATATAAACAAGCACTAAACTATACTAATAGGCACTAACCCATAATAACAGGCACTAACCCATACCAACAGGCACTAACCAATACTAACAGGCACTAACCCATACTAACAGGCACTAACCCATACTAACAGGCACTAACCCATACCAACAGACACTAACCCATACTAACAGACACTAACCCATACTAACAGACACTGACAGGCACTAACCAATACTAACAGGCACTAACCCATACTAACAGGCACTAACCCATACCAACAGACACTAACCCATACTAACAGACACTAACCCATACTAACAGACACTGACAGGCACTAACCAATACTAACAGGCACTAACCCATACTAACAGACACTGACAGGCACTAACCAATACTAACAGGCACTAACCCATACTAACAGGCACTAACCCATACCAACAGACACTAACCCATACTAACAGACACTAACCCATACTAACAGACACTGACAGGCACTAACCCATACCAACAGGAGATAACCCATACTAACAGGCACTAACCCATACTAACAGGCACCAACCTATACTAACAGACACTGACAGGGACTAACCTATACTAACAGGCACTAACCTATACTAACAGGCACTAACCCATACTAACAGGCACTAACCCATACCAACAGGCACTAACCCATACTAACAGGCACCAACCTATACTAACAGGCGCTAACCCATACTAACAGACACTGACAGGCACTAACCAATACTAACAGGCACTAACCCATACTAACAGACACTGACAGGCACTAACCCATACCAACAGGCACCAACCTATACTAACAGGCACCAACCTATACTAACAGGCACTAACCCATATTAACAGGCACTAACCCATACTAACAGGCACTAACCCATACTAACAGACACTGACAGGCACTAACCCATACCAACAGGCACCAACCTATACTAACAGGCACTAACCCATACTAACAGGCACCAACCTATACTAACAGGCACTAACCCATACTAACAGACACTAACAGGCACTAACCCATACTAACAGGCACCAACCTATACTAACAGGCACTAACCCATACCAACAGGCACTAACCCATACTAACAGGCACTAACCCATACCAACAGACACTGACAGGCACTAACCCATACCAACAGGCACCAACCTATACTAACAGGCACTAACCCATACTAACAGGCACTAACCCATACCAACAGGCACCAACCTATACTAACAGGCACTAACCCATACCAACAGGCACTAACCCATACTAACAGGCACTAACCCATACTAACAGACACTGACAGGCACTAACCCATACCAACAGGCACCAACCTATACTAACAGGCACTAACCCATACTAACAGGCACCAACCTATACTAACAGGCACTAACCCATACTAACAGACACTAACAGGCACTAACCCATACTAACAGGCACCAACCTATACTAACAGGCACTAACCCATACCAACAGGCACTAACCCATACTAACAGGCACTAACCCATACTAACAGACACTGACAGGCACTAACCCATACCAACAGGCACCAACCCATACTAACAGGCACTAACCCATACTAACAGGCACCAACCTATACTAACAGGCACTAACCCATACTAACAGACACTAACAGGCACTAACCCATACTAACAGGCACCAACCTATACTAACAGGCACTAACCTATACTAACAGGCACTAACCTATACTAACAAGCACCAACCTATACTAACAGGCACCAACCTATACTAACAGGCACTAACCCATACTAACAGGCACCAACCTAAACTAACAGGCACCAACCTATACTAACAGGCACTAACCTATACTAACAGGCACTAACCCATACTAACAGGCACTAACCCATACTAACAGACACTAACCCATACTAACAGGCACTAACCCATACTAACAGGCACTAACCCATACTAACAGGCACTAACCCATACTAACAGGCACTAACCTATACTAACAGGCACTAACCTATACTAACAGGCACCAAGCTATACTAACAGGCACTAACCTATACTAACAGGCACTAACCCATACTAACAGGCACCAAGCTATACTAACAGGCACTAACCCATACTAACAGGCACTAACCCATACTAACAGGCACTAACCCATACTAACAGGTACCAACCTATACTAAGAGGCACTAACCCATACTAACAGGCACCAACCTATACTAACAGACACTAACCCATACTAACAGACACTAACAGGCACTAACCCATACTAACAGGCACCAACCTATACTAACAGGCACTAACCTATACTAACAGGTACCAACCTATACTAACAGGCACTAACCTATACTAACAGGCACTAACCCATACTAACAGGCACCAACCTATACTAACAGGCACCAACCTATACTAACAGGCACTAACCTATACTAACAGGCACTAACCCATACTAACAGGCACTAACCCATACTAACAGACACTAACCCATACTAACAGACACTAACAGGCACTAACCCATACTAACAGGCACTAACCCATACTAACAGGCACTAACCCATACTAACAGGCACTAACCCATACTAACAGACACTAACAGGCACTAACCCATACTAACAGGCACCAACCTATACTAACAGGCACTAACCTATACTAACAGGCACCAACCTATACTAACAGGCACTAACCCATACTAACAGGTACTAACCTATACTAACAGGCACTAACCTATACTAACAAGCACTAACCCATACTAACAGGCACCAACCTATACTAACAGGCACCAACCTATACTAACAGGCACTAACCCATACTAACAGGCACTAACCCATACTAACAGGCACTAACCCATACTAACAGGCACTAACCTATACTAACAGGCACCAACCTATACTAACAGGCACTAACCCATACTAACAGGCACTAACCCATACTAACAGGCACTAACCCATACTAACAGGCACCAACCTATACTAACAGGCACTAACCCATACTAACAGGCACCAACCTATACTAACAGGCACTAACCCATACTAACAGGCACTAACCCATACCAACAGGCACTAACCCATACTAACAGGCACTAACCCATACTAACAGGCGCTAACCCATACTAACAGGCGCTAACCCATACTAACAGGCACTAACCCATACTAACAGGCACTAACCCATACCAACAGGAACTAACCCATACTAACAGGCACTTACCCATACCAACAGGCACTAACCCATACTAACAGGCACCAACCTATACTAACAGGCGCTAACCCATACTAACAGGCACTAACCCATACTAACAGGCACTAACCCATACTAACAGGCACTAACCCATACTAACAGGCACTAACCTATACTAACAGGCACTAACCCATACTAACAGGCACTAACCCATACCAACAGGCACTAACCCATACTAACAGGCACTAACCCATACTAACAGGCGCTAACCCATACTAACAGGCGCTAACCCATACTAACAGGCACTAACCCATACTAACA